AATTCCACCCTTGGCTGACCCCATTCCGCCTCTCCCAGGAGTCCTCACGTGGCTCATTTTGGATTGCAAGCCCGTGTGGAGGCTCCGGGAGGGCCTATGGAGCCTGGGGTGTGTGAAAAACTCCAGAAACAGCCCCGTTTCTGGCCTCCAGAGCCCAGGGAGGGTGAAAACGCACCCCCCATGACCCATTTTTGCTCCCAGGGTGGTGCAGGAGGCCGACTAGGACACGCCCACCATGGCCACACCCACCCAGCAACTGGGCAGAGAAGCGGTTGTTAAATTATTTGAAGCCACCCCCTTGGTCACATGATCAAAATCCAGACACTTGGCAACCGACTCGTATTTATGATGGTTGCCATGTCCCCCCGGGGGGGGGGGGGCATGCGGCCCCCTTTTCCGACCTTCTGATGAGCAAAGTCAATGGGGAAGCCAGATTTGCTTAACAACCATGTGACTAATTTAGCAACTGCAGTGGCTCACTTAACGACGATGGCAAGGAAGGTTGTAAAATGGAGCAAAATTCACTTAACAAACTTCCTCGCTTAGCAGCAGAATTTGTGGGGTTCAATTGTAGTCTGCGCCAGAGACAAATTCCTTGTGTGTCTAATCCCACTTGGGCAAATAAAATATTATATTTAAGATGTGTAGATTTCAGCTCCCAGAATTCCCCAACCAAACATATGGCTGTATTTTGAGGACTACTTATGTCTGGTTTCCCCTTTCTGTTTATCCCCACAAGATTAAAGACTTATTTCTCATTGCATATTCTCTCCCCTTCTCCCCCCGCCCTCCCCAGGGCCATTAATATAACTCCACAAACTATTTAATGTCACACAGTCCCATATAGAGTGTATAAACATCTATTAAACCATTGACAAAGTCATATTTAAGCAGAGGGGTGACCTGTCAATTAAGTCCACTGTAACATAAGTCTTTTCTCCCTGGGCTTAAAAGTTAACCTCTGCAAGGTTTCTTAAGGACGCATTTTTTTTGTCTCTAGTCCCCAGCCGACAGTTCATTTCACGACAATTAAAAGACAAAAGCTGTTCTTTTGAAGACAGCAAAGTCCACATTTGGGACAGAGAGGGACACTGGTTTGAAGGAAGGGTCAAAGAGGCCATCTATGTCAAAATTGAAGAGCCCTCCCTCATCAGAACATCATCTATCTACAGTCTACAACACAGTCCTTTCGGCAAATGTCTATGGAGGTTCTCAGTCCTCCAGGTTGTGGGTTGTCCCAAAGGTGCTTTTTCAGGAGGCAACTGGACTTTCTGGTTTTTCTTTGAAGGCATTTCACTTCTCATCCAAGAAGCTTCTTTAGCTCTGACTGGAAGGTGGGGAATGGAAGGATTGGTGCTCCTTGCAGACAGCTGGTCCTTTGCATCCTTTTAGGGGGTCGTTGAGGCCGCTTGGAGGTTTATCTGTGTTCTCGGGGTCACCTGAATGGTGCAAATGGGTGTGGAGCCTTCTTGGAAGTTTCCATCTATGTTAAAAGAAACCACCTATGTCAAAATGGAACAGCCCTCTCTCATCATCGAGGGAAGGATGCAACATCATCTATCTCCAGATATCCCGGACATAAACTGTTTCAATTCCTTCCCTCAAAACGGCGCTATAGAGCACTGCACACCAGAACAACTAGACACAAAGACAGTTTTTTCCTGAATGCCACCACTCTGCTAAACAAATAATTCCCTCAACACTCTCCAACTATTTACTAAGTCTGCACTACTATTACTGTTAATCTTCTCACCATTCCTTATCACCCATCCCCTCCCACTTGACTGTTTCCTAGTATGATTTGATTGTTGATTGTACCGTATGACTATCATTAAGTGTTGTACGTTATGATTCTTGATTCTTAACGAATGTAGCTTTTCTTTATGTATACTGAGAGTATTTACACCAAGACAAATTCCTTGTGTGTCCAATCACCCTTGGCCAATAAAGTATTCTCTTCTATTTTCTCTTCTATTTTCTCTCCTATTCTCTATTCTATTCTATTCTATTCTATTCTATTCTATTCTATTCTATTCTATTCTCCAGTTCTTTCAACCATTCCAAGAAATACTCCACACTCATTTGCATCACTCCGGTGACCCTGAGGACACAGATACCTCCAAGTGGCCTCAACGACCCTCTAATAGGATGCAAATGACCAGCTGTCTGCAAGGAATATAAACCCTTCCATTCCCCACCATCCAGTCAGAGGTGAAGAAGCTTCTTAGATGAGAAGTGAAACGTCTTCAAAGAAAAAAAACAACACAGAAAGTCCAGTTGCCTCTTGAAAAAGCACCTTTGGGATAACCATGACCTGGAGGACTGAGAACCTCCATAGACATTTCACGACCTTTAAGGCAAAGTTGTACCAACTTTCAGATGTTTCTCCTTGCTCTAGACGGTCCTTTTCAATTGATACCATTCAAAGCCGGAAACTTAAACCGTTGGGATGTTTTAGCAGCAGCTGGCCAGCCAACTTTTGCTAAGTCAGCTTGTTGGGAAGCCAAGAAGGGGAAATGTTTTGAGCATGGATAAGCGTCAACTGCGTTGTGTGTTTGTGTTGCTGGTGGCTGATAAAACTAGCGGTTTTGAGACCAATGTCTATGTGTAGATTCTCAATCATCCAGGTCCTGGTGGTCTCAAGCTTTTTTTATTCTTTAAAAAAGAATAAAATGGAGCTCGGGGGGGCTGCGTGGGTTCCAGGAGGCCATCACAGCCTGAAAACGGAGCTTGCGATGGCCTCCTGCAGCTCTCTGCCAGCGAAAATGGAACGTAGGAGGGACGCACGCGGCCGTCGCAAGCTCCGTTTTCAGCTGTGATGGCCTCCTGGAACCCATGCAGCCCTCCCGAGCTCCATTTTTGCTGGCAGAGGTACTGTGGGCCGGTCCTTCATTCTTTCTTTGCAGCCCCTCAGGCCAGATCTAAGCATCCCCATGGACTGGATCCGGCTCACAGGTCTTGAATCTGACACTCCAGATCTAGTAGGTCTAGTTTAACGAAAAGAAGGCCTAGGGGTGACATGATAGCAGGATTCCAATAATATCTCAGGGGCTGCCCCAAAGAAGAGGGAGTCAAGCTCTTCTCCAAAGTACCTGAAGGCAGGACAAGAAGCAACGGGTGGAAACTCATCCAGGAGAGAAGCAACCCAGAACTAAGGAGGAATTTCCTGACCATGAGAACATTGAATCAGTGGAACAACTTGCCACCAGAAGTTGTGGATGCTCAAACAAGTTTTTAAGAAGAGATTGGACAATCATTTTGCTTACTTTATTGTCATTGCACCTCGAACAATGAAATTAAATGCCATCTTCAGTGTATTTTATAACTCTAGAAGTGAAACACAAGCACACATCCCTCGCATTCTATACAATTGAATTGAAAACCCCTGATATTGCATTAATATTGCACTATACAGTGGAATTCAATATAGCACTGGGATAGAAGCTGTTTTTTCAGCCTATTGGTCCTTTTTTTTATTTTATTATCCTGTACTGTCTTCCAGATGACAATAGTTTTAAAAAAAGGTTCGCAGGATGAGATGGATCTTGGAGAATGTTTTGAACTTTTCTAAGGCAGCGGGAACTAGAAAGGGATGTGAATGTCGGTGTTCTTCTATTTATAAGGACTTTGTGTGGTCAGTAGGTCTGTGATGGGAGGTCACGTCAGATGTGGGTCTTGTGATGGGTCTGATGTGGGTTGATATCCTCTAAATTCTGTTGAACACTCATCGTACACCCGAGCTACAGATATTCGGTATAAGATTTTCGGCCTGAGTAAGGGGCTGGACTAGAAGACCTCCAAGGTCCCTTCCCACTCTGTTATTCTGACCAAAATGTGTACTTTGCTGTCTTCAAAAAAGAGTGACCGTTGTCTTTCAGATCAGTGGTGGGATTCAAATTTTTTTTACTAATGGTTCTGTGGGTGTGGCTTGGTGGGCATGGCTTGGCTTGGTGGGCATGGCTTGGTGGGCTTGGTGGCAGGGGAAGGATACTGCAAAATCCCCATTCCCTCCCTACCCCACTAACCTGCTTTCCAGCTCCGTTCTCCTGTGCAGGGCAACCAAAGAAGAGCCAGCCAATCAGCTGGGACTCAATGGGAGGCAGAGAAGAAATGGGGTTGGCGGGGCCAGTCATAGGTGGGATTTGCCGGTTCTCTGAAATACTCAAAATTTCTGCTACCGGTTCTCCAGAACTGGTCAGAACCTGCTGAATACCACTTCTGGTCAGGAGGTCTTTTGATGGGAAGGTTACGTCAGGTGTGGGTCTTGTGTCAGAGGAGGACCCAGGCCCATCCCCTCTCCATCCTAGAGCACACAGGGTGGAGAGGATAAGGGAGAGACATGGTCTACTGCAGAGGAGAGGGCTTTGATCCTCTTCATGGGCTGCAGCTGTGACAACTGGATAAGAGGACAAACATGCGTATGGGCGAGTGCTGGAAACAAAGCGTGGAAATATCTCTAGTTTGTTGTTCCTCTCTGAGTTTGGCGTCCTTCCCAGTGTGTGTTCTGATATCTGTGGATGTCTTCAAGCCCTTATCTTGCCTGGTTTGTGTTGTTTTTTTACTCTTTATAATTTAAATGACATTTCCTCCTTCTTGTAACTGCTTGTGTGGGAGGTTTTTTTTTTGTCTCCAGTCAAGGATATTTGGAGCTTGGAAGCAAAGTGAAGGAGTAAAAGGGGCTTCACCTGTTTTTTTGTGACTGTGTTTATTTTGTATCCCACCCTGGGTCATCACAATAGGGTTTCCTGCCTGAGCAAGAGGCTAGACTAAAAGACCTTCAAGGTCCCTACTCCACTCTCTTATTCTGACCAGAAGGTGGACTTTGCTGTCTTCAGAAAAGAGTGACCATTGTCTTTCAGGTGCAGATGGCCTGCTGAATCCAGTCGCGATGGATTTGCCCTCCTGCCTTGGGCCATGCATTTGTGAAGTGGTTGTTTTGGGTTTGTTTTTTTCCAGACTGATCCGCTAACCAGGTCTTTCTGATCCCCTGCAGAATTGCCATGTCGCCTTTCCTGAGGATTGGGCTGTCCAATTTTGACAGTGGCCCCTACCTCCCTTCGCAAGGAGACGTGATCGATCCTTATTGCGCTGTGATGGTGAAGGAGGCAGTGGCAGCTGGTAAGGAAACACCTCTTTCGGTCGGGACATCATTTGCAGTTGGGTGTGAGCGGAAGGTCTCCTGGGCCCTTGGATTTCAGTGAGAAATTGGAGAGTGTGAGTTTCAAGGATAAGTTTAAGGTATTATTTTCTCTTGGATTTTAACCTTAACCCCCAAGGGAGGCTCTGAATCTCAATGAGGAAAGAAGAGACAGAGAAGGGCTATTTAATCTTTTTCACGCTGGTCGCTTTTCAGCTCAAAATGATCCATTTCTCAAACTGTCTTTTTGTTTTTATTTTTTAAACCCAGACCTCCATTTACCAATAAATGAGAATATTTGCAGCTAAGGCTTGAAATGAGGATTCTTTGGTGCTCTCTGAGCTTGGTTGTTTCCTTGCAGACGTTTCATGACCCAACTAGGTAACATCATCAGTGGTAGAAGGGGATTCCATTCCATTCCATTCCATTCCATTTTCTATTCTATTCTATTCTATTCTATTCTATTCTATTCTATTCTATT